GCCTCAAACTGTCAGATAATAATGGCGTCGATAATAGATCTGATTCATCTTTTATCAAACTCCAGAAAACTAAATGTAGATTGGTTTGATATCTGACACCCAGAGCTATGAAAATAATGAAGTCATAGAATAAAAGAGAGGAATGCTGGAATATTTGTTCTGGAGCAGTTTTGGGTGTGGATCTGAAGGAGGTCTGCGCCGTCTGTTTAAGGCAGCGACCTCAGACGGCGTCTGTCAGCGGTCAGAGGGAACCAACCCGTCCTGCAGCAGGACCAGGATCAACGTACCACGCTGAAGGTCCTCTGGTCCAGCTCCTCGGCCTCCTCGCACACAGACAGGCTCTCCGCAGCGCTGGGAGCGCTGGACGCCTTCTTGGTCCGATCTCGTACCTCAGTCTTTACTTCGATCTGATGGAGACAGAAAACCTGGTTTCATTTCACCGACTCTGGTTCTTCATTCAGTCCTTGAAGATCTTTCCTCACCTTCTCTTCGTCGTCCTCCTGTTTCTGAACGGGATCAAAAAGCTTCATTTCTCTCCTGTCCTTCAGGTCACAGCCGTCAGCCTTCTCCTTCTTCTCCTCCCTCTCTTTGTCATCCTTCTCTTCTGATGAGGAAGCGTCGTGCTGATGCTCCTCCTCCTCCTCCTCCTCCTCCTCCTCTCCCTGACTGCGTTTGCTCGCAGCCTTTCCTGCCATCTTCTAAAGCGGGAATTCATGTTACATTGGAACCCGCTCCGTGGAAGGCCGGACTGATAGGGAGCAGATTTTACCTTTTCCAGATCAAACTCGTTCTCATCCTCGGACCTCTTGTCTGACGTCAGGTCTGAAGACGGACTCTTCATGGCTTCCTCGCCCTTTCCTGATTTCAGAGCTTTGCTGATTTTCCTCCTGGGTTTCCTCTTGCGTGAGTTAGCCTGAAACCACAGAGACATCTGAGATGAGCAGGCAGCCAGGCTGAGGATGAAAATGAGGATGAGGAGGGCCGCACCGCTCCAGCCTGCTTCTGGGCCTCCTTCTTGGCCAGGTCCTTGCTCAGTAGCTTGATGAGGTAGTCGGCTCTGGCTTGGAGCTGCTTGGCCTGCGGCTTCTTGTCAGGATCATCTGGTAACAGCTGGATTAGGAGGGATTATAAAGGAGGCATTAGTCACATTTTCTTCTTTTTCAATACACAATCTGTTCATTCACACTGCTGGGAGCAGACCGCTGCTCTGGAGCCCCCCCCCCTCCAGGAGTCATGGACTCACCTTGTGTGTGAGGTTGAGGTCGGGGTCCATCTTGATCATCTCCCAGCTGCCGTAACCGTATTCATAGATCCCAATCAGCAGACTGGAGTCGTCCTCCTTCCCCCAGTCGATGTCAAAGTGCGCCGCCTTGGAGTGACACGGGATCATGTACCTGCAGTAGCAACAAGCTAACTGTTAGCTCTAGGCCTCAAAGTCTGACCTGCCGTTATTTAATAAATCAAGGATATGATAACCTCATCATAATAAATAATCAAAACAGCTTTCATCTCAGCCCTAACTTTCAATCATGTTTCACAGGTCTGGCTCCGCCCACTTAGGGGGCGGGGCCAAGCCTTGCTTTCAGAGTCAGGCTTACTTCTTTCTCTCCTCGGGGTCGGCGGGGATGGCCTTATGAAGAGGAGCCAGTTCCTCTTCATGGGAGATGACCAGCTTGGCGTTCACCTGGACCCCAGAGATCCGGAACGTCGGACCTTTAACTTTTCCTCGTCTTCCTGCTGATCGTCACAAACAAAGGAGAAGAACAACGTGAGAAGTTCTAGAAACAACCAACGGCTTCAGGTTATAGAAAAACTGCTACTAGATGTTGTCCAGAGTCAACTGAACCGGAACCGCCGGCCGCCGTAGCCCAGAGTGGACCGGAAGCGCCGGAGCCCAGACTCGACGGTATCGCTGGAGCTGTGGGACTGCATGTTGTCGGGATATAGTTGCAGCTATGCAGCAACATCCCGAGTCAGAGAGACGTTAACAGACACATTGGCACATTTCGCCACATGACTGCGTCCCCCGTTTCACCACCATCACATGGTGAAGTTTGTTTCCTGATCCAGAAGGTTCTGGAACAGCTTCTTCCCCACCGCCATCAGACTGATGAATTGTTGTATAAAATGGGTTATTTTATTTATAAAAAAAAAAAAATATGTTTACAACTGTAAACATACAGTCATATGTTTATATTACTATGTTTTAATGTATTTATTACTGTTTTCAAGGCTTCAAAAATGAAACTGTCCAGAGCTGTTTTAAACAAAATGTCTTTTTGTTGACACTTGTGTATAGAAAATGACTAAATAAATGTGTCATTGGACCAATAAACACAAATAAAAGCAACTAACCCGATGAGTGGCGGTTAAATGAAGAGCAGGAACACAGACGCTGGTAGAACTGGGTCGACAGAACCTTTAACTGGTTGACTGATCTACAGCTCCTCCATCTTTAGGGGAAACTGGAGGATTACCTGACGCCTTTTCTGGACCACAGGGGTTTTCACGTAGTGTCCTCAGACATCCGTTATGGACAGTCTCTGCCAGGCGTTTCAGGTCATGTTCCGATTTATCCACCAGCTCAGCATCACGGGCGATGGCGTCCAGCCTGAGAGAGACAGCAGGAACGGGCGTTAACATCTGCTCAGCCGGAGGGGTCTACAGGTCATCAGCTGCTGCAGCTCACCTTTCCAGAGGGCCTCCAAACTTCTTGTAACTCTTCACAAACCTGCAGGATCCAAAGATACGTGGAAGTCAAAGCGGCATCAGGTGAGAGCAGCAGAAGCCCTGAAGCAAAGACTCACCTGCGGATCTCTGCGTCTGTAAAACCTTTGATGTTTTCCCGTGGAATGGTCCGGGGTCGCCCGCGTTTCTTTGGTCTCTTTCGGTCTGAGTTGGAGTCGCTGTCCGAGCCTGAATATCTCCTGTTCCTGCTCTGCCGTCTGTCAGAGTTGAAGCTTATCTGCCAAAACAGAAAGATGTTAGAGAGGAGCCCCCTCGGTCCACTCATGGACGACCCGTCTGTTTCTATAGCAACCGTTTACATCAACTCACTTCACTGAAGGAATTAATCAGCCAGTGATGTTTTATCAACCAGTAAGACATTTTTTCATGAACACAATAGAGAGAACTGAGGAGAGTCGTGGTGAGAGTTTTCATTGACTAAAAAATGATCAGGTTGTCTGTCAGATGTTTAAATGCATCATTGAGCTGTAATCTGCAAAGTAGCTGCATCATGTTTGGCCACGCCCCCACCTGGCATGCAGCTCTCCTCATGCTGCATGACCTCAGATGGATCATGCTCTCGCTACTTAATAAACTAGATATGGCTGATCATCCTCTGCCAATCAAGATCTTATTTCTTCCAGCTCACCAGAGGCGATTCTAAACATTCTTTCATTTCTACCAAATCGAATCCCTCAATTAGATCCAAAGGAAATATTTCATTGAATTCTGTTTATCTCTGAATAAAGATCCAGATGAAAAATTACAGAGACCTTTGAATCTTTCTCTCTCATTGTTCTCGTTTCTATCTGAAGATTTTTGTTCACATATTGAAATGTAGGTCAGGGTTGCCATGGCATCACAAGGTAAATATGGAGGTTCTTTCTTCCCAAAGTAGAAAGAAGAATGTTTTTGTTCTTTGAATCATGCATTACACACAGATCAATAAAACTGCTCCAATAAG